TCTTTGCATTCATTTGAAGAGTTATCCAACCATGCATTACAATTCGTATGAACTTAAACTTTCTTTGAACTACCAAACTATTGATTGATATATTTTACAATGAAAAATAAGAAGTTATCTTAATATTTATTGACTTAGGTCAGTTTATATGCACTACATAGCGATATCCGTATGTTTTTAGACAAAAGTTTGTTTGTCACTCTTAAAGTAAACTAAATTATGATTTTACCTTGTCTACGTTATGTTTGCTAGATGTGCCGTCCGCTTCACTTAGCAAATTCATACTAAAATGCAGATTGCCCTTAACTCTGGCGCAATTTATGGGCTAAGGGATTTTGAATCCTGGCTGAAGCACAACATTAGAAAGCCAAACTCTCGATCTTAATTTGTTCAACGTGCGTTTCTGTTTTATATGGTCATTCAAGAACAGACCTCCAAATGTTTTAATCCAAACCCCAAATTAAGAGTTAGGCTACCTTTATTTGTTTTGAAGAGGTGAGTAGAGTGCATTCGTAATTTGGCCTCACTGCCTCTGAGCTCTGACCCAGTTCTTCCAAATCCCAAGAATTTCTGTTTTTGCTAGATTTTTTCTTAACTCGATCATGGCTAAATCAAAGCAAATTGAGAAGTCACATATGCCCTTTGTATGGTGTCTATTGCATAATAAAGTAACAGGATCTAGATACTTTAAAATGGACAACATTTATTTTTAAAACATTGTGCTATATTTTTTTAAGTATTGTATTACTTTACTGTTTTTGCATGTTGATCCAGCCTTTCAGCCTGCTCCATCCGAGTTAATCAAGTCTATAAACATCACCAATTCTATCTTCTCTATTGATAATCCACCCTTAATCAATATCAAATGTTCACCAGATCAAATGACCCCACAAATTATTAGCTCATCCATTTCTGGACTAGTTGACGAATTCGTTAATCTCTCTATTGAGTCTGATCTCCAAACTGAATTCCCTGAGTGTCTGGATCATACTAAAAGCAAATATAACTTTACTAGGATGATTTCTTCTCTTAATTCCTCTCAGCGAGAAAATTCAGTAGATAATTTGGCTTCCAGATACGTGCAGAGTCGTGACTCAGAATCGGGAGTGAAAGAGCAGAGGAAAGATATGGTTGAGTGTGAAATCGATATGGACAATAGTATTACATTAGCAAGAGAGAAAAAGGAGTGTAAAGAAAAGGATTACTTGGTGGAAGGACTATATCCACTAAAACGAACTAGGTTAACAGAAGATAACGCAAAATATAGAACCAAACCTAAAAGCTGCCGAAAAACAATGGCTAGAAAGGAAAAAAATGGGGCGGAAGACGTACCCGATTTGGATATCTCCAATATGAGTAATTCGCTTCATTCATGTTCTCCTTTAGAAGAATTCGGATTTAGAATTTCACATGAGTTCTTCGTTGCGGCTCAGGCTCTTTTTTGCAAAGAACTCAATCAGAAATCCTTAGATCCTAGTAAGTCCCTTAAAGCCTTGCATTGTTTAAAAAAATTTGTGTTCTACTGATTTACATTTTCATTTATTAAAGTCGGTTGTTTTCATTATAACACCTTAAAATTCCCCTTGCTTCTGCTTATCAGATAAGAAGTGCGATATTAGTGATAATCATTATATTGTCTATATCCTGCATTGTTCGAACTCATTGCCAAATTATAAGATGTTTGGGCAATTTTAGATAACTCAACTTCCACATAAACTTAGATAATTATATTCTAGGCACTCATCACAGCCGTATTTTACCATTCTGCTATAGAATTTTATGATCAGTGGCCAAATTATAGCACAATAAATGCTTTATCATAATTTACATAAAATTAGTGCACTTTATACTCTACTTTGCTCTATCTATATTATATGATCAAATCATTTCACGAAGGCCCAATCATACCAGTGTCATGAATGCTGCAATTAACTTTGATGAAATATTATAAATTACAAATGGTTTATTTTCCTAGACTTGCAGATTTATAGCAGCGTGGACATCAATCAATAAATTTCTCATGGCTTTCGCTTAGGTTCGCTGCTGCTTAAATCCAGCCCTACAGAGAAATTGCGGAGCTTATTACAACTTTATTTTAATTACTTTATACTTATAAAAATATTGCAACTGGCCTTAATTTTTTTCATCGTATTAATCATTCTGCACACTTGAACTTTCACTATCTTATTTAATCTCTTTCTATAAAACGGCCTGTTTGAGGTACCCTTTTCCTTGATTTTTTAATATCAACTTTCTCAGTTTCACCTTTTACAATTATGTTTCCTCCTATTTCCTTAACATATGTTAAACATTATTTTTTGGTTTTTTATATCTTCATATCTACCAGAATTTTTTAAACGGACCTCTTACTGATAAGCATAAATAATTATCATCGTGAGACCAATGCTTAAATAAATACTTTAAATATAACCTGCCAGATATTGATACACCTTTGCTTTCACTATTGTTCTTTCTAAATTTTTATATACATTATTATTGCGTTTCATATAGCTTTGCAGTGTGAATTATCTTGTACAACACTTGGAATTCTTACCTACAATTATGCCTTCGCATTAATACTTCCCTTCACATTCATATAACATTTATTAACGATTCTTTTTCGTAAATCATACACACATTTTTCTAACTATGTTAACTTAACAAGCTACCTTACCAGAGCATCTATTCAACTCTTGGCAGCCAGATCCTCTGCTTAGTCAAGCTATTTATTTAGCTTTGTTGGTCCACCTCGGACTCGAACCAGTTTTTCGACAGGCGGACGAATACGCCCGGAAACTAGTACGTCATTTACTTGGTCTGAAAGGCAAAATGGAACCAAGCAGTGCAGGTACATGCATCTGCCCATGTAAATCGAGCTTTATTTTTAATTATTAACCACACGAACTTTCAAATAACCGATATTTAATATCTCATAGGACTAGCTGACTATGCTTGAATTAAGAGATCAATCTTGGTAGTTCAAACAGTCCTAGCAACTTTATCATTTCAGCAGTTCTTGCCTTTAGAAAGATTCTTTGATATTTTTAAGGCAATGTAAGATTACCTTGTAATTTTTATTCATTATTATTTATTTTGTTGGTTGAACAATTGTCCAAATTATGCGCTTCAATTTTTTCATTGCATGTGACAAATAATCGTTTTAAATTTTAACTAAATCATGAGGAGCTTATAAAATGATCATCTTAATTGTAGATATGAAAACCAGGATGGTGTGGCCTTCTCTTTGGTCGCATTTACTTACTGCATAGTGTTTGTTTGGCCTCATTTTCGCAACTTGGTCGGAGCGTCAGACAGACTTTATGGAGTGTACTTAGTCTTGCGTCTGGAAATGCACCAAGTCATTTATCCGATGCTAGAAATCACGAATTCTATGGCAGAGAGCGCAAGACTAGGCACGTTCCTCAAGGTCTCCATGACGCCCTGACCAAGGTGTGAAAACGAGGTCAAGGCTATAGTATTATCCTGCTTATTTTTTTTAACAATGAGAAAGAATCAAACTTTATCTACTGATTTAAAAAATTTATCTTTCTTTTATATCAGCCCTATGACGCTTATATTAACATTTGAGTTCTATCCTTTACAATTTTTTAAGGATTATGTTGCAAATAATTTTGCTTCTTAAAATCCCGTAATATATGTAGTTTTTCTTTTTCTACAGTGTTTTTATTTAAGAGTGTCACTTCTCATTGATACCCCTGATGTTAGTACTGGCCTCACCTCTGACGAAATCCTGTAGAATAGATTACTCAATCGTCATTCCACTTGTTAAACAGCCAAGCCGATTTGGATTAAATTGTATTATTCTCTTCTCTATTTTTTTTTGTTCAGCTCCTAAAAGGATTAGCCGAAAGTCCCAGTGGCTAATTGGTAAACCTGCTGACAGCATGATTTATGGAAATAGGAGGAAGGTTCATTTGGTGAGACCAGCCACTAAAATAACTCCCCAGAGTTGGCTTCTCACGGACACTCGTAAGGCGGCAGTCCCAATACCTTATTCACTCACGGAAATCCAGGCTCACGACGAGGCAGTTTGGCGCTCCGTAGAGGATTGCCGCGACGTAAATATAATTTGTTTAAGCCTAATCACTTTTCTGCTTGATGTTTTGGTGTTCTTATATTGCGTTACCCCTGTTCCAGAGTCGGTTTTATCAATAATTGCTTATAATCTGCTCAATCAAAATAGGTCTGTATGCTAACTAAGACCGATCAAAAGTTTATTTTGTGAGGATTTATTTTTAGACTTAAATGACTTTGCACCTTGCTAAGCAGACCCGCCACTTTTTGGCTCACTTATAGGTTTCTGAGTATTACTATTCTGCCTCAGATAAGCATTTCCATAGATGTTGATTTCTTTTAGCTTACAAGTCAAATTTCAAATTACTTACATAGGTTACAAGGACCTTAGTCTCTAAGATTCACTAAGTGATTTATGACTGACTTAAGCAATATCAATAAGTCGTGATTCATTCCGCTACTGCTCATGCTCTCGTTTCTTCCCCAAGTTTTGAATGACCAGAGCTAGCCATTACTATCTGGGCAGTACACTCATCATTTATTATATTCTCGCTGGTTTTATACTTATGGTTTATACCAGATGTGTTTGCAACTACTTCATACCACAACCAGACTTATTTTAGTATGGCACCCGAGGGTTTTTTGCCGAATACTACCGAATAAATCTTCCTCCATTTATTCAAACTCTTGATATTGTTGTCCAATGGACCTTAAATTTTCCCAACATTGGTGAACTACTTTGGTTTACATTACATCCACACTGCCTGTCCTTGTCCTTTAAAAAAATTTCTCGTGCATGATAGGAATAAGTACGTTTTGTAAGCCAAACTCTCCTCTTGGAGTTTGTTAAGCCTTATATCTAATAAACGACTAAAATTTATCTATGCATTTTGCATTAATTTAATTATTCTCTTCTATTTGAACTAATTACACCTGGATACGTTTAATCTTGATACATTTTCTAACAACTTATATTTTGGTATATTTTTCATCTTGTATTCACACGAGTTACCAAAGCCATTTTGTTGCTCATTCACTGCTGTAAGGGGCATATATTTTATCATTCGACTTTTACTAGGCATCGCTTTCGATAAATATGCTATACTCGTTATAGCATTTGACAAATGCCACATAATCTCTTATTTCAGATACTTAGTATTCGCAGCCTGCTGAATCTACATATCATTAAGAAAATAATAAAAATACGTGAATTAAGCTAAGTTATATCTATTTGCTTCGGTTGCAATAATATCTGATCCAACTACCTTTATGATAACACATCTAGCTTACTTTATCAAAACTTTTTAAGACAAATCAATATTTACACTAACAATATTTACTATCTAAACATTACGCATGCTCTCATCAAAATGTTACTTAGCTAAATTTTCTTCCATGTCCAC